TAACGTGAATTTCATAGTTTCTAAATAATTCTTTCAACAAAACAGTCAATTCGGCTTGCTCGTTTTTGTCAATTGCCACAATCAAACAGCCGTCGTTTGTCAATAATTTTTTCGCTACTTCCAGCCGGTTTTTCATAAAAGTTAACCAGGTTGACTCATTAAAACCATTATTGTAAACAAAAGTATTCGATTTACTGTCCGGATTATAAGGTGGGTCAATATAAATTAACTTGATTTTTCCTTGGTATCTTTCTTTTAGCGAATAAAGGGAAAGGAGATTATTGCCTTTGATAATTAGGTTGTCATTGAGGGAAATATCAGTCATTGGAACTTCTTTACCACAATCATATTTCCAAAAGTTAGTTAAAACTTTGGGAGTTAGCAAACGGTCAATTTCGTCCGGAGCCAGGATTTCATTTCAAAATATTTCCTGTCTTTTGGCATCTTCTTGGTTCTGCCCTCCTTCCAAAATACAATCTTTATAGGGTCAGGCTAAAACTACTTCACCACTATTAGCGAGATATTGCCGGTCTGCCACTAGTCCGATTTTATTTTTATACTGGGTAAAACTGTCCGGGAGAAACTGTTTATTAGAGATAAAATTTTGGAATTTTGTTTTATCAAAAACTAGAATATCGTCTATTTCTACAAAAAATATTTTCTTGATTTCGGGAGAAGATTTAAGGAGTTGGAGAAGTTTGATATCTAGTTGCAGTGCTAATTCAATAACTTTGTTTTTGGCAAGGTTGCCGTCTACTATTAGTCTTTGGTCTTTTTTTAGAAGGTTGGTTAAAATTTCTAATGTTTTTAGCATGTTTATTCTTCTTTAATTTTTAGAAACTCAGTGAATATCTTTTTAAGTTCATTGAGTCTAGAAGAATTAACTTCAAAAGTTTTGATAATTTTGTCTGCTTTACTAATCAAATTATATTCTTTATCATTGTTCTTTGATATCTCATTCAACACTTTTTGCGCTTCTTCTTTTTTTAGTTCTCCGGTAGGTGTCAGTTTTCGGTATTTCTGATTCTCCTTCTTATATTCTCTAGAGTTTTTGAGATGCATTTCTTTAAAGATTTCTAGCATTTTCTGAAACTTAACTGAATTTTCATTCATATGATTAGTTTTTTTGTCTTAACCTAATTTTTATAGAGTAGCACGAATAAAATTGTTTATGGATATAAAAGTCGAAAAAGTCTACAACACAATGGAAAAGTTTAAAGAGATACATACTAATAATTCGAAATATTTAGGAGATGATGACTATTTTGAGTTGTTATCGCCCAAAAATAGACCTGACGCAAATTACAACTCGGCTTTTTTGGAAGCAAAAAACTTAATATTAAAAAAATTCCCAAGAGAAACATATTTTAGAGAAGATTCATCATTTATAATTTATTCAAAACATCTTCATATATTTACTTCTTATTATTTGAGTGAAGAGGGTTCACCCTTGCCCTTAAAAGTATACTTAAATTTTCTTGAAAGCAGTAAGGATTATTTAGATTATATGAAAAAACTAAGGGCTAATACTTTCCATCTAACCATATTTAAACTAGATCGATTAAATGGTTTCTGTAATGATATAGTTAGCGATTACATAGATAATGTTGTAAACATAAAAGAAATTGAGTATGAAAACAAATATCTATATTCCGAACCAAAAGATTTTCAGAAAATTGAAAGTTTGTGAAAAGATGGAATGTATGATAATGCTATTGTCGGATGCCGAAATACTTTACTGCATTTCATAGACAAGTATCAAGAAGTTAATAATGGAAAAAGACTAAATACCGAGAAATTAGAAGACTCAGAAAAGATCGATTTTAGTAAAAACAAAGAAGTGTTCGAAGAATTTCTTATAAAAGTATGTGATGATTATGAGGTTAAAGAATTAAAAAAACACTTAGATGTAATAATAAAGGATTTTGGAAAAATAAGGAATGATTTTAAAGGTCAACCTAACACCTTTCTTTAGACTATAAAGAAATCGAGATGCTTTATAAGAAAATAAATACTCGAATGGTTATAGATTTGAGCAAAGCGGTTCATAATTTGCTAGTGGTATTAATTAGCGAAAAGGCCGGAAAATAAGTAAAAACAAAAAACTTTTAGTACCCATTTCCTAAAAAATAAACTTTCTTTCCCTAAAATAAAAAATGTAATTAGCATTAAGAATATTTAGAAATTTATCTGCATTTTGAAGAAATTTTAATATTATTTCTAGCACTCTAAATTGAAAGCAGAATACGCCTCTGTTTAAAACTTTGTATTTTCTTAATCCCTTCGGGAGCAATATTCTTTGATCACTAAGTGATTCTTTTTAATAACTGAGCCTTCTTGAGTTGTTTTGAATACTTCTTTAACCTTTACTTTATCTTTTTCTTCAAGACTCTCTAATAGTTTGTAAACTCCATATGCTGCGAAACCAATAACAGAAGTCTTAAATATAATAGAGAAAAACGTTTCTTTTTCTTCTTTGTTTGTCATATTTGTAATTATATTATTAATTTTAAAGTTTTATCTCAGTTGTTAAAAGGCAAAGAAACTAAAAACACTATAAATGGGACTTTTTGGAAAATTTTATTGTTTTAAAATGCACTGATGAGAAACCCCGCTATCTAACCAAACATCCATAATATCTTGCCCTAAAATAACTTCTTTATTTATCAAATCAGGAAATTTTTCTTGTAAAAGTCGTAAGATATTACCATCAAACCAGCAATCAGAACCTTTTTCCACAAAAATATCTGCAACGTAGTTAACAATTTCAGCATTAAGTATCGGTTCATTATTTTTATATAAAACTGGAATTGGGACTCCTCATTTTCTCTGGCGGGAAATACACCAATCATCCCGAGCAGAAATTATTTGTCGCATTTTTTCTTCGCTTCAATTCGGATATCATTTTACCTTTTCAATATTTTCCAATAACTCTTTTTTTGTGGCCTCTACTTTGATAAATCATTGCTTAGTTAAGCGATAAATTAGCGGACTTTTATCTCTTCAATCATGGGGATAACTATGGCTAATTACTTCTTTTTTTACGATTAGATTTCTTTTCTCTAAATCAGTGATAACATATTTATTAACTTCTGAATAATGTTTACCAACTAGTTCCGGAACTCCAATTTTTTCATTAAATAAGCCGTTAGGTTCAAGAGGGCAATCAATTGTTAATTTTTCTTTTTTTGCTACGGCAAAATCTTCGACTCCAAAAGCGGGTGCTAAGTGAACTATTCCAGTGCCTTCTTCTTCCTCAATAAAATCACTACCATCAACAATATATCTTTTGTTATCTTTCTGATAAGGATGAAAATAAGTTAATCCTAATAATTTTTCTCCCAAAAATACTTTCTCTATTTTTAATTTTCCTTCCTGCCATTTTTCTAAAAGCGAAACTTTATTTTCTAGAACTATTAAATACTCATTTTCTCATTTAACTAAAACATAAGAAGCAGACTTTTTGACGGCTGCTAAACGATTAGCGGGAATAGTTCAAGGTTGGGTAGTTCAAACTAACAAATTAACCTTTTCTTTGCCAAAAAAATTATCTGCTAACTTAATTTTAAAATAAAGAGAAGTATCTTTTTTTTCTAAGTATTCTATTTCTGCTTCGGCTAAGGCGGTTTCATGTCCGCAAGACCAATAAATTGGGCGAAATCCTTGGTAAATTAAGCCTTTTTTAACCATTTCACCAAAAACTCGAATTTGTTCGGCTTCGTATTTTTTATTCAAGGTAAGATAATATTTTTCATAATTAGTAAAAAGTCCTAATTTTTTTAATTGCCCTTTTTGGATTTGAACTTGTTCTAAAGCAAAGTCGTGGCAAACTTGCCGGAGATTTATTTTTTGGCCTTGGTGGGCTTGAATCATTTTATGTTCAATTGGTAAGCCATGGGTATCTCAACCTAATAAAAAAGGAGTATATTTTCCTTGATTGGCTTGAAAACGAACAATAATGTCTTTAATTGTAAAGTTTAAGAAATGTCCAATGTGAAGTTTACCGTTCGCATAGGGCGGACCAGAATGGAGAATAAAAGATTGATTATTTTGATTTTTTTCTAGTACTTTTTGGTAAATTTTCCTAGTTTCTCATAGTTCAAAGATCTTTTTTTCAGTCTCTGTGGGATGAAAATTTTTCAATGGTAAAGTAGTGCTTGGTAATAAAAGGGTATCTTTATGTTTTTTGTTATCCATCTAATAAAATTATTTTATTAATCCTATTAACTAAAATAGGACTGAAAACTTTTCTTGTGTTTTAACTTTGAGCCAAATAGTTATACTAAATTAATCAATAAATTCGGTTCTTTTATGATCTTTTTTAAATGGTAAATTAACTTTTTGATATCATTCTTGTTATTATAAATAAAAAGAGAGATTCGGATAGCACTTTCTACTCCAATTAGTTCTTTTAAATAGGGACAACAAAAATTACCGGCTCGTACTAAAATGTTATTTCTCCCTAAATAATCGGCTACATCATGAGCATGATAACCTTGTAAATTGAAAAGAACAATATCAATAGTTTCCAAGTTTTTATTATAAATGGTTACTTTTTCTAACTTTTCTAATTCGTTAATCGCGTAATTTTTTAACTCTTTTTCGTAAGTAGAAACTGCTTTAATATCTAAATTATTAAGAAATTCAAAACTGGCTTTTAGACCGAATATTTGGGCTAATGGTAAAGTTCCTACTTCAAATTTTTGAGTTAAGGGTAGTAAAAAGTCGTTTTCTGAATCAAGAGGACTAATTTTTTTCCCCCCTCCTCACAATAGATGAGGCAATTTTCTTCCAAATTCTTTTTTTATTCAAAGGATTCCTATTCCGGTTGGACCATAAACTTTGTGCCCAGAAAAAGTTAGTGCATCACTGTTTCATTTTTTTACATTAATCGGTAAATGAGCAATACTTTGACAAGCATCAATTATTACTAGACAATTAGGATTTATTTCTTTAATTTTTTGCGTAATTTTTGCTACTGGATTAATTGTTCCTAGACTATTACTCATATGGGAAAAACTAACTATTTTGGTCTTTTTATCAATGCATTTTTCTAACTTGTCAATATCGGTTACAAAATTTTTGGTTAGTGGTAAAAAATCTACTTGAACTTCTCTTTCCTGAGCAATGGCTTGCCAAGGGTAACAATTAGAACTGTGTTCTAAATGAGTTAGAAAAATTTTGTCTCCTTTTTGCAGAGAATTTTTTAGAGATAAGGCTAAGATATTTAGTGAATAAGTAGTAGAGGGAAAGAAAATAATTTCTTCTTTCCGAGCATTGATTTTTTGGGCGATTAATTGACGGGTTTGTTGAACGGTTTGACGAACTACTTGGGCTAAAAAACTACTACCTTCACTATGAGTATTAATGGAATAATTTTCATAATAGTTGCTAATGGCTTGAATAACAGTTTTAGGTTTTAGACTAGTAGCGGCACTATCTAAATAAATTAGATTTTTTTGGCGGGTAAAAGCAGAGAATGATCTCCGAAATTTATTACTCATAAATTACAACTTTGTTTTCATTTTCTTTTCTATTGCCATTATTTCAACTAAATTTTGTAATCTGTTCTCGTTTGTGTTTGCTTCAATGCCTTTTGATAATTGATCGGCTGTGTAAATTACACCATATCCATACCCTAAATTTAACAATGAGGCCTGCTGCATTTTTTCTGTACTGGCCGCTTCACAATCTGCTAAAAAAAATATTCCGAAGTCGTGATTAAAGGCGGTTCTAGCTGTGTCTTCGCAGCAAAGATTTGTTAAAACGCCGCTAATGATTAATGTTTTGATACCTAACTCTTTCAGGTAATTTTCAAGGTTAGTTCCAACGAAAGCATCGCTACGTGTTTTACCAATAATAAGTTCTTCCTTTTTAGGATTAAGTTCTTTTATTATTGCTCATTCTGGTGATCCGACCATGATAGCATCTTTTTTTCCTCATCATTTAACAAGTTGTCCACCGTCTTTCTCTAAATCTCGGTGTCCGTGTTGCGTCCAAATTATCGGTATTTTTTTTTGGCGACAAATTGCTATCACTTTCTGAAGCGGATCAATTATTTTCATTTTCCTTGCTTGCTTACTAAAGCCTTCTTGCATATCTATAATAAGTAAGGCAGTCTTTGACCAGTCATTTTTAGACAAAATTATTGCTTTTAATTCATCAATAGCACTTCTTAGTGCTTTCTTATGGTTAGCCAAGGCTTCTTTCTGATCAGGATCTCCTTCTTCTCAATTAAAATAATCTTGCAAAGTAGTAAGTAAAGAAGTATAGTCGTCAGGTTGAACAGTTGCCACTTTATTAATATCTTCTTGTATCTCTTTTTCTAGTTTATTTTTTTCCACAATATTTTTTTAATTCTTCCGTAAAATAGGGATGAATGTCCACTCGTTCGTTCATGGTTGTTTTTAATATTTATTTTACTAGTTAGTAGCGAAACGTTCTTTATTCTGAGTGCTTTAAAGTGCTTCTTTGGTGTATTTTGCGGTGAAAACGAAGAGCGTAGCGATGAACTTCTTCTTGGCAGTTAGTTAGGAAATTTTTCATTTTTACTTGTTTCCCAAATTCTAATTCTTGTAGGTTGTTAGTAATTATTTTTTCTGTTCGGTGGTTCTCGTTTTTAACTAGGCCAATGGTAATGATTGATAGTTTTAACTCCTTTAGCGCTTTTTGGACAGCTTTAACTTGTTCTTTTCCTCCATCTACAATTATTAGGCTAGGCATGTTTTTTGATGAATATTTTTGATAGTGGATTAGGCAGGCTTTTTTAATGCGGGCCAGGTCACTTTCTTGTTCAAGATTGTCTAATTTGTATAATTTACTCCTGATTAATTTCTTTTCGCCATTAATAAAGGCTAAAAAACCAGCTACAATATCTTGAGTATAAAGATTAGAAACATCTAAACATTCAAAATAATAGGGGATCGGTATGGATAAAAATCTACTTAACTCTTCTAATATTTGCGTTTTGTTTACTTGTTGGAATTCATTTCAGTAATTTTTTTGCCAAATTTGTTGAGCATTTTGCTGAGCGAGAACTAGAATTTTCTTCTTTCTTCCGCGCTGAGGAGTTTTTAATTCAAATCCTAAACTTTCACTTAATAATTCTATTTCAGTAGTTTTTTCTGAAACATAAAGAGTTTGAGGAATTAGATTATTTTGGTAGAATTGGTAAAGATAGGTTTCACAAACTTCTTCTTGAGTAGTTCAGATCGGGAAAGCAGCTTCATCACTTTCAATTAGTTTACCATAACGATAAATTAGTAAACAAAAAGAAATGATATTATCTTGGTAATAAATTCCTAAAAAATCACAGTTTTGTTGATCGGTGAATTCAGCATTCTGTTTACTGGTAAAAAAATCAATATTGTCTAAAATTTTTTTCTCTTTTTGAGCAATTTCAAAGGCTAAACTAGCCACGTTTTTTTTAATCGAATTTTTGACCTTTTTTTTAATTTCGCGAGTTTGGCCATTAAAGAATTTTCTGACTTCTTTTTTAATGTTTTCATAATAGTTTTCGTCAACCTTTTGAAAGCAATGTCCGGAACACTGATTGATAGTATAGTAAAAACACGGTTTTCCTAAGTTGCCTTTACATTTAGCTAACGGGAGTAGCCTTTCGAGTATTTGTAATATTTCTCGAGCTTTACTTCCATCGGGAAAAGGACCAAAATATTCGCTTTTTTTGTTTTGATTAACTTTTCTCACTATTTGATAGCGAGGATTTTCTCCTCCAGTAATTTCTAAATAAGGATAATAATGACCATCTTTTAATAAAACATTAAAGCGAGGTTGGTGTTTTTTAATGAGATTTTGTTCTAATATTAAAGCTTCTTTTACGTTGTTGGTAAGGATAGTATTAAAACTGTGGATTTGTTGATGAAAGTAATTGACTTGAGAAGTTAAAAAATGGTTACTAATTCTCTTTTTTAGATTTTGGGCTTTGCCAATATAAATTATGGTTCCTTCCTTATCTTTGAATAAATAACAACCTGGTTGGTTAGAAATTTCCGTAATTGAATTTTGAATTGGCATTTTTTACTTTATAGAATTTTTTTAAAAAAAAGTGTAGTTAAAAGGCTTAAAGTACTCTTGCAGTAATTTGTTTTAAATTTTTATATTTATGTAAGGATATTAAAAAGAGTAACTCTATAAAACTACAATATTAATGGGTGAATATAAAAGCACTTATAGAATAGAATAAGTAATTTATGTTAAGTTATTGAGAAAGAGTTGTTAGAGAAAGAGGGAAAAAAATAAGAGTATATGAAAGTAAAGACAATAGAAATTAAACCTAACCAAAAACAAGAAGGAAAAGCCTTTGGTTGCAGTGAAATATTTACTATGGATAACAAAGAAAAAGTTATTAAAAAAGAGTGAAAGTGTGAGGAAATTAAAGACTAACAGTGATAGATCGCTTTTTTGAATGCTTAATCCATAAACTTTACTGAGAATTCCGAAAAGGAAATAACTTAACTTTCGGCATTTTTAAGCCCGAACCAGTTATTAAATTTGGTGGATTTGTTTTGGAAGAACCCTATTGAAACGAAAAAGAAAAAGAGCAGAAGTTAGGAGAGGTTGGCACACCCGAGAACCTTTACTGAAAATGGGAGATATTCCAATTTACACCCGCACTATTTACTTAAATGAACTTTTCTTACATAAGCAAATGGGTTTACAAGTTTTCTTTGTAAAGTAAGGAGGAATTTATTGAGCGATTTAATGCGGAAGTTTTAGCAGAGGTTATTTGCCATGAGTTAGGACATGCGATATTAACTGATATTCAGCCAAAAACCCAAGAAATCAATGGAGGACATGGTAAAGAACACGATAAAATTACTGAGGAATTAAAGAAATTATTAGTGAGTTTTCTGGAATATCAAGCCTTAAAAAAGCACTGATAACTCAACTTAATTAACAAAAATTTCAGATCACAATTTTACTACTAATCTTAGGAAAATTTATCTTAATTATTCTCTGAATAAAAACCCGACAAATATTTTTACTGAATAATAGAAATATTCTTTGAAAAGACTAAAATATTTCGTATGGCATACTGCAAAGTTGTTTCATGTTACAATATAACTAGTTGTTCTCAAAAAGAATATTGTGCTTAGCATATAAATTGTTTATTTGGATTGTTAATCTGAGTTGAGACCTAGGTAACGACGCGGAGCAACGGATATAAATATTACCGCCAGACTTTTAAAGATTTGGAGAAAGGCGATAGTTTGTGTGTTTTTAATTACTCCTGAGCGGATGAATGAATAAAAGATGAAAAGGGAAAGTGAAAAAATAAATATGATAAAAAATAAATTAATTTAATAAAATTAAGTATATAAATAAAGCGAATTATGACTATAAAATTAAATTTACCGCTAGAGGTAGAAAAAGATTTAGAAAAAGATTTTGCCAAGTTAGAAAAAATTACCAAAAAACCCCGCGAATTCCTTTTTTACGAGGCATTGATTAGATATATGGAGGAATTAGAATGAGAATTAGAAAAAAGGAAACTGAAAGAGGAAAAAAAACGCCATCCTACCCCCGAGGAATTAAAGGCCTTATGAACGCGATTAAAAAATACTTCCCCTGAATACTACTTTAAAGAAGCATTGATTAGATATGCCGAGGATATGGAGGATATAAAGGATGTTGAAAAATACGAGAAAAGAAAAAAAGAAGGTAAAGTTAAATATTATACTAGCGAGGAAGTAAGAAAAGAACTTAAAGAATATTACGACGCCAAGGAAGCAAGAGAGAGACTAAAACTTTAATGAATTACGAAGTATTTTGGGAAAGGGGAGCCAAAGAGAACTTAAAAGAGATTGGCAACCGAGAAATTGCTGAAAAGATTGAAGACCAAACAGAAAAAGCGTTATCCAGTAATCCTTTTTCCAATGGTAAACCTTTAACGGGCGGTTGAGAAGGCCGTTGGAGTTATCGCATTGACTTCCCTGATAAATCTTACCGCGCCATTTATGAGATAATTGAAGTAATTTATAGGATAAAAGGAAAAAAAGTAATAATTGCGGTAGTAAAGGTAGGAGAACGCACGGAAACAGGACAAGTCGACGATGTTTATGCGGGAGACCATCCCCGCTCTACTTTAAGAGGGACAAGGATTACCGAACGACCCAAGGCCCGAGATTTAAGCAGAAAAGTAGTAGGGAACCGAGGGAAAAGAAAAGTAGGGCGTAAATAATCGCCTATTGTCTAATTCTAATATAATTTATCTCTCCTAGTAAATCACCTTATAAAATACAACCAATAATAACCGTGGTGATGAATTACCTACAACAATAATGAATAAAATTTCTTACATAAAGTATGGTGAGTGATTTAGTAGATTTTTTTCAAGATTTGCAAAAGCGCGGGTTAATTGCTAATGCTGCTAATTTAGATAATTTTTATCAATTAAGACTCGGAGAAAGAGTAGTTTATTTAGGAATTGATTGTACGGCCGAAAGTTTGCATATTGGTCACTTATTTTTACTAATCCAGACAATTCGGTTTGCTCACCAAGGATTTAAGGTACTTTTAGTGTTAGGGGGTGCTACTAGTAAAATTGGTGATCCGAGTGATAAATTGAAAGAAAGACCGCAACTAGAAACCGAGAAACTAAATCAATATTATCAATCCATAAAAAATCAAATTGCTCAGATAGTGATTAGACAGCCCGTTCTAAAAATAATAAAAGAGGTAAATTTTTCGCCTTTGGAATTGTTTTTTGCTGGTAATCAAGAATTATTAAACGAGATTTGAAAGATATTAGGAATGAAAGATAAAGTTGATATAGAAAAAAAATGAGAAAGATATTTGGGATATATTTGACCGCTAAAAGAAAATAAGTTCAGAATATTAAATAATAATGATTGATTAAGTAGAATAAGTTTTATTGATTTTACTAGTCAAATAGGGAGAAGCATTAGTATTAATTATTTACTAGCCAAGGAAACAATTAAACAAAGAGTAAATTCTGAAACTGGTCTATCTTATTTAGCGTTTAGTTATTCCCTTTTACAAGCCTACGATTTTTACTATCTTTATAAGAACTATAATTGTCATGGTCAACTAGGAGGGAGTGACCAATGAGGCAATTTAACCACCGGATTAAAGTTAATTCGAGGTTTTTATCCCGAAAGTAAAACTTTTGCTTTTAATTTTCCTTTACTAGTTGATAAGGAAGGAAAAAAATTTTCTAAAAGTGAAAGTGGGCAAAAAATACTTTGATTAAATAGTGAAAAAAACCAGTTTTATGATTTTTTTCTCAATTTATCAGATGAGCAAGTTAAAGTATATATAAAACAATTCACTTTTTTAAGTGAAAAACAGATTAATGAGTTATTAAAGTTGAATAATCCTCCTAAATTAAGAATTTTGCAAAAAATTTTAGTTGAATTAATGTGATTTCTCAACTATGGGGAAATAAGATTACTAAAAAAAAGAATTAGAAGTTCAACGTAAAAAAGTTAAAATCGAATTCATTCTTAAGTGTGTTAGTTTAAAATATGATCAAGTGGATTAGAAAAAAAGCACAAAAATGTCTAAATATTACTTTTAACGAAAAATTCAAAGAATTGGTAGGTGGATATTTAATTCTCGACCAATTAAATAACAGGATAAATTCTCAATTAGGCAAAGGGACTTGGTATGCCGAAAGTTATCATACTGAGGAAGGCGATAACGGAACTCTGACTCTCTCGGTTGTAGCGGTAAAATTTCCGTAGTGCTGTTAGAAAAAGAGAGAAAATTAATTTAATAATCATGAGAGAAATAATAATTATTGAGACTAACCAATCTCAGCAAGTAAAAAAACTCTTGGAAAAGGCTCACATAGATTACAAGGTTTACCAAGAACCTAAGAAATCAGTAAATATTTTTGCTAATTATGGTGAAGCAATAAAGAATAAAGAACGAGACCAAGAACTTAAACTGTGGGATAACTTAGATTTGGACGAACAATTGAATAATGATGGTGAGTGGTGAAGTTAAGAAAGGAGAAGTTTACTTATACTGAATTGGTAAAAAAGAAGCCCGAGGAACAGAAATAAAGAAGATTAGACCTGGTGTGATTATTTCTACTGATAACTTAAATAAGTGGAATTACCGCTTTATTGTTGTTCCGATCACCAAAAGAACAAAAACATTCTTAGATTTTGAAGTACCAGTAATGGTTAACGGCAAAGAAGGATTAGCCATGTTAGATCAAATTAAGACCGTGGATAAGTCAAGATTGATTAAGAAGTTAGGAAAATTAATTCCAACAGAAATGACAATGGTTAGGGAAAAGTTGGATTTAGTTTTTGATTAAGTTGTAAAAAAGTCTTAATTCCTTATTATTTCTACACAGATAATACAAAAATTTCTTTTTTTGAAAATATCAAATAACTACTCTTTTTTTTAATATTAATTTTATTAATTAGGTTATTTAGAAAAACAGGCTTAGTTCCCTTTTGCAGGCTTACGATTTTTACTATCTTTATAAGAACTATAATTGTCATGGTCAACTAGGAGGGAGTGACCAATGAGGCAATTTAACCACCGGATTAAAGTTAATTCGAGGTTTTTATCCCGAAAGTAAAACTTTTGCTTTTAATTTTCCTTTACTAGTTGATAAGGAAGGAAAAAAATTTTCTAAAAGTGAAAGTGGGCAAAAAATACTTTGATTAAATAGTGAAAAAAACCAGTTTTATGATTTTTTTCTCAATTTATCAGATGAGCAAGTTAAAGTATATATAAAACAATTCACTTTTTTAAGTGAAAAACAGATTAATGAGTTATTAAAGTTGAATAATCCTCCTAAATTAAGAATTTTGCAAAGAGTTCTTTATGAGTTAATTTTTGCTCTTAATTATCAAGAAATTTAAGGTTTTACAAAAAAAAAAAAAAAAAAAACAAGAACTTACCGATGAGAATTAGTAAAAGCAAGTGACGAAAGTATTAAAATTAACTTAATAAAATAGTATTATAATTATATAAAAAAGTATGACAATAAAAGAATTTGGTAATTCGTTCAAGGAAAATAATAGTAGGAAAGAGGATATTAAAAAAGGTGGTGGTAATACTACTGCTTTAAATGATACGAACTTTTTTACTAATGCTTATGATTATAAACCTGGTGATAGTGATATAATTGATAAGATGTGAAATGGTGGTAAATTAGTAGGAAATTTACGGAGTGAGGTTACTAATAGCGGAACAGAGGATTGAAGAAGTGTTTCATATATTGGTGAAGCAATAAAAGCGATTAAGAATATTCCTGCTATAAGTGGTGATAATAACGCTATAAAGGCGATTGCTAAGGCTGTAGAGAGTGCTAATTTTGTTAACAGTATTGACCCTTTTATCTATCGGTTGGTTACTAGCGATGAAATTACTAAAAATTTAAGTGGTGCTGGTACGGACGGAGCAGATGCGATTGCGGTTATCGA